AACTTTAAAATAAATAAATAAATAAAAATAAACAAAATGACTTTATAACCTGACCAGTGCTACCTGTCAGTCTTTATTACTCATCTCTACCTTCTCAGCTAAGAAGCCATGTCTCCCAGGATGCTTTGGTTATGTACACACATATACATTCCCATTGTGACTTTTATCAGTTTCCTTCATATGAATTATCACAAGGACTGATAGTTTTCTTTTTCGTGCCTCTTTTCTTGCCGAAGAGTAAAGTCCTTGAGGTCAGAAATGAGACGATTTAGCTAATGTGTCACCAGTGTCTTGCTAATTCTATATACATTTAAAAATTGAATCCACCTTGAAGAAAAGCCCCATGAAATAGCCATTATTATTGTTGGGATTTCAGAGAGGAGCAGTTGAGGCACAGTGAGATTAAATAACTCCATGGCTATGTGGCCAAAGTCAGAGTGTGGCTCCGAAAACCAGGCCAATGGATCCCAAAGCTCCTGCTTTCCTGCCTTCAGGCAGCGGCTTCCCATCCTGTCCATTGCTTTTTAAAATAGCCCTAATATTTACTGCTTTCTATCCATTCCATTGACTGTGCTCCTGCTCACGCCCTCCTGACTCCTTATCTGACTGGGTGCATAGCTTTTAACCATCCCTCTGCCTCCCTCTTCTCCTGCGTCTGAAGCCAACTAATATTCCTCACCTCAGCTCTTCTCCTGGGATTCCCCTGCTTAACAACCATGACTTAAAGCAAAATTAAATAGATTCAAGGAAAGACAAGAAACCAACAAAATTTATGAACAAATTCATGAACTGCATCTTTGTAATAATGACCAATGAGAAAGAAAGACTTCTAGCCAGTGTAATGCAAAAGAGAGGCAGGAAGGAGAACAATGTTTGCAATGAAAAAAAGGAGTATAGGCTTCAGAGATGCTTAGAACAATTGCAAGCCAAACTTTATACAACTTTAGGCTAATAACCTTGAAATTCTGGGGGATAATGAGAATTTTTAGAAAAATGTAAACTGTACAAATTACCTTAAGGATAATTTGAATACACAAATAACTATGGACAAAACTGAAGAAAAGCTATCAAAGACCTACTCCTAAGAAAAGTACTGAGCCCCTATGATTTTAACATTTAATATGTTTTCAAGCAACTGATCATTGTGATCATATTCAAATATTTCCCAAACATGAAAGATATGGAAAGGTAATTATAACTTATTTTGTGGAACACGTATAGCCTTGACACTTAAACCAGAGAAATATAAAACAACTCAGACCAATATTATTTATGAACATTGTAGCAGAGAGGACACTCAAAATTTATGATCCCTCTTCCATAGTACAGCAAAATTGCTGGGAAATCACTGTTCAACCAGGAAATAACTTTTCCAGCCATATGTACTATTTTGACAATGGAATGTGAGTGGACGTGATGTGTTCATTTCCAGGCTGAGGCTTTTTAAATATGTGTGTGGGCCTTTTCATTCTTTCTTTCCCCTTGCTTCAGAGGATGATGGGACTCCAGGGCACACAGGTTGGTAAATTATATATGGCCTGTGAGCCTGCTGTCTTTTTGCAAATAAAGTTTTATTAGAACACAGCTATACCCATGTTTTTACTTACTGCCTATGGCTTCTTTCATGTTACAACACCTGAACTGAGTAGTTGTGACAGACAGCTTAGACAGCTTGGCTTCTTTACTATCTGGCCCACTAAGAAAAAGTTTGCAGTAAGGCTGCAGGAGAGTGTTGTGCCTGAAAGAGTTGCCATTGAGAAAAACCCTCTCTGAATTGTTTATGAATAAGATATACTTCCATTGCTGCTGAAGTTTTGTAGTTTGTTTAGCAGCTACCATTATTGAAACTAATAATAAAAGAGAGGCAAAATCTCAAATAAGATACTAATGATTTCTAGAAAAAAATAACCTATGTAGAATTTTTTCCAGAGATGCAAGGTGATTAGGAGAGATAGCAATACCACATTACTAGGTCAAAAACGAAAATCCATGTAACCATCTTTTCATGCATATTGAAAGCATTTTAAAAACAGCATTCATCTTACAAATTACTCTTAGTGGAACAGGATAGAGAAATGCTTCCTTACATTATCTACCTATAGTAAAAGCTAATATCATATATAGAGGTCAATGACTAGAGAAATTCCTATTTATGATAAAAACAAAAAAATAAATGTTATAATCAACAAATTGGGTTGTTGTAAAAGTCATGACGTATTTTTTCTATAATATGTTTTTTGTGCAAAAATGCGTCATGACTTTTCCAACAACCCAATAACATAGCAAAAAACATAACATGTATATGTAACAATGTAATACTGCTTTTTAAGCACCAGCAATGTAGTAATAATAATAATTTTCTATGTACTATATTAATAATTATTAAATTATGTAATAAAATATTATCTATTGCATAATATAAAATAATATAAATTATATGTGCTTTGTATAATTCATACATGTAATTTTATATATGATGTACATCTACATGATATAAGTATCTTATATACAGTAAAATATATTTAACTTGACTTTTATAATATAGTATATTGTACTTTATATTTGTACTTTATAAAATGTACATAATTTGTACAAAATTCATATAATTTACAAATACAAATATATAACATATGATTTATAAATAAATCATGAAAATTACATGTAGTTTATGTAATGAATATTCTGTATTGAATTTTTAAAATTATGTTAATGATATAATGTACTAATAAAATCATAATGCTGCTTTTTATCAGCCAGTGCTCCACAGCAGAAAAAAAAATGAAACAAGAGGCAAATTTTTATCATTTGCAGACAATATGATTGTGCACCTAGATAATCTAAGGTAAACTGAGAAACTATTGACACTATTAAGAAAATCTTCAAAGTTACAAAATCAATGTGCACAATTAATAGGTTTCCCGTATGTCAGCAATGAATGACTTAAAAAAAATGCCTTCCTATGGAAAATAAAAGGAGATTTGAGTAGATGAAGAGAGAGACTGTATTTTTGCCTCATACTTAAGATATCTTAAACACATGAATTCACCATAAATTAATCTATAAATTCACTGCAATTCCAAACAAAATTCTAATGAGATTGAAATTGGCATGTGATAAACTGATTTTAAATTTCACCCAGCATATACTTGTGAGAGTAGCCAAAAAATATTAGAAAGATCAGACCAATGTAAAGAAACTGGTGAAGACAGATACTAAAACAAATTGTAAAATACATCAATAAAATTGTGGAAAACAAAATTAGACCTTTCTCCTAAACCATGCACTTAAATAATTTCATATGCACTAAGGACTGAAATATAAAAATGAAGTGTATAAATGTTAGAAGACAGAATAGGTGAATAACTATATTCTTGAGCTAAGAAATGTTTTCAATAAATAACAAATTCAGAAACCATGAAGAAAAAGATTCATAGATTTAACTATACAGCAATTTAAAACTGCTATAGGTAAAATGCACTCTACACACACTCAAAAAGGCCAAGGAGAAACTGCTAAAAAAATGTGCAATACCTGTGACAGGTGGAGGATGAGTGTGTGTGTGTATATATATATAATATATATATATATATATATATATATAATATATATATATATATATTATATATATATGTATAAGATAATACAAAGCAGTAAGGGAAGAAAATGCTCAATAGAAAAAAGAGGAGTAGCCACGAATTGCCAGTGACACAAAATCACGTGGAAAAATAAAATCTCACCATAAACCAAAGAATGCAAATTAAAATGAGATCTTTTGCTTATATATAAAAATCAATACTACCTTTACATGCATGGAATAGAATGTCCAAAGAAATGATGAAAGATGCCCGATGGAGATGTCTTCCTGCCCTAGAGCCTATCAGAGTCAAGATGAAGACAGTGTATGGTTGAGTAGGCTAGTGTAAATTCAAAGGCTCAGAATGATTGGCGTGGTGGGAGAGAGTGAAGACATATTTAGTGGGCGCTGACAGTTTAGCATAATTGTCCCTCCTAGAGTTGATATTTTCATATTTACAGGTTCCAAATATAAAATTCATGTGACCTTTGGATGGTTGAGTGAGAGTAAGATTTTAGAATGTGGATAGTACATTTAATGATAAGCTTAATAATGAACTTAATGTTTGGTAAAATGGCTTTGTACATACTTTTTGACAATGTGTTGAAACATTGAATTGTGTATTGCTTATTAAATATATAATGCTCAGAGCTGTTTGCAGGCATAATTGGAAGAAAATACGTTTGCCTATGGGAATGTTAAGCTCTCCTTTCTTCCATCTACCATAGTTTTCCCAGGCTCCACCTCACCACCTCTATGAATGAATTCAGTATGCTCAAGCTGTTGGGTCCATTTGGTCTCAACTGTTGAAACAGTCTACAAGGCGATTTTATATAGTTTATGATAGAATTCATGTTTGTGCCTCCTCCTAAGTATATGTACTTCAACTTTTTAGCACACATGAGGGTTGTCAAAGAGTTTTCACAGGCCTATATAACCTGAGCTTCTCTCCAAGGACCTATGAGTTGGGCAGGTATTGTTATCTCCACCTCAGAGAGGTGAAGTGATTTGGGGGACGCCCCAACACACAGCAGCCAAACTGGGCTTAGAGTTCAATCTTCTCTTTCAGGTCCAGTGCTCTTTCTGTTCTACCTGTTCACTTCCCTCTAAAGGAGGAAGGCTAAAGATGGCCATGACTCCTAAGTGGTGAATAGAGGAGACATTTTGAGAATTATATCAAGTCAGGTTCTTAATCTGCTTGACCAGAACAAAATTGGTCTATGTTTACTTGACATTGCAGGGTGAGTGGATGGGAATTTCCCCCTCATTCCCAGGACCTCTGGCTATGGGGAACATCCTGGGACAGCCACCATGGCATGACTCTTGTCCAGGGAGAGGCCCTCACACCCAGGGCCCCAGCATGTTAGAGCCATGGCTGCCCTCAGATCTCAGAGCACAGAGATAAGCATGCCATTTTTTCTACTACCTTTTATGGCCTCTTTCACAGCAGAATCAACAGGGAGTATGTTCTTCTCCACCAGCTCGAGCGGCCCTGGCCGGAGAGCAATTTTTTCATTGAGATCATCTGCGAGTCGGGCTCTTTTCAGCTTCATCTGAGCAGTTGGAATGGACCTCTCTGCAGTGGAGGCTAAGGGGTTGAAATGAAAAGGATCAGTTCTAGAATTTGAAATTTTATTATTATTTTTGCTTCTGTAACTAAAACATTGTGTCACATTGTGCTCTATCATCCTAATAATTTTTCAATGCAATCATCATAATTTCACATGGATTAGCAGCAAAGACTAGATGCTTCCAAATAAAGGCAAACAGACACTCAGGCACACGGAAAAGTTAGAGAAACTTGCTTTGTAAGGATTTTTGAAAAAAAATGTGCAATTTGGGGATTCCATGGGGCCCACATTGCTTGCTGTCCCTAAGCTACAGCATTTGGATGCAAATCCTCTCTGTATATTCCCTGGCACCGGCTAAGCCTGCAGTAAATATTACCTATTATTATAATTAGTTGTAGTGGCATGATTTCTTAAGGCTTTTAAGCTTGTCGATGTGATGCTGGCTGATTCAAATGCCCTGGTCAGTGGTAAAAGAAAAGAAAACTCCTTTGAAACCATTATTTAATTAAACAGAGATATTTTAAAAACTGGATTTATTCACCAGGCAGTTACTGATCATTTAGAGGGTGAGAAGGTCACTAACAGAGCCCCAAATCACCCCTATGCTCTTCTTTCAATTAGGCCCTGACTTATTTCTGTGGAAGAACTTGGAGAAGAAGCTAGTTAACCAGGTGGTGCTATAATGCAGCCCTGGAAGTTAAGATTCCTTAAGAGTTTGCAGCTATACTCTCAACTTTGCAAATTTAGAAGGTGAGATACTTATAGACCAGCCTCTCAACCCCATTGTTCTGTTATTATCAACCTACTAACCCAGGCCTAGTGTCTGATCTAGAAATTTCCATACAGTAGAGGTCTAGGGATAGCTAATTGTTGCAACCGGTCAGACTTGTCTACAAGATGTGTTTGCAAAGCACCTGATGTGAGATGGAAAAATCAATTCTCCAGACCGAAGAATGGGAGCGTGTAAGCCTAAATCCTCACCAACCCCCTCTGGGTCACTGACAGGGCTTCTCGCTGGGCCTCCTGCCTCAGGGATCTTTCCGATCCACCCTACACACCAACGCAAGATTAAGCCTCAGGAACACTCCTTTCTTTCATCCCCCCGAAAAGTGCTCCTCTCTATCCAGGTCTCCTGGCCCTGTTTTGTCAGCTTGCCACACACTGAATCCAGCCCGCTCCATGACCTAAGATTCCCCATTCCCAAACTACGTGTTCTCCTTCTGTCCCTATGTCTTACTGGGTTCACCTTTGTACCTTTGTTACTTAGTTTCCTCACTCTGGCGTGCTTTCTACATTCTCCCCTTCCCTTCCCCCCGTCCCCCAACGTCCTAACTCATCTTTCAGGTCTCAGCATAAAGCCTCTTAAGGCCTCCTATGCTTACAGATCCCTTTTGCTGTGACTGCCTCTAATGGTTACAGACATTGGCCCTTAATCTTATTTTGCTGCTTCCAAAGTTGAAGGGCACTGGTCATTTTGTATCCAGCAGATCCTTGGTGCTCCAGGGTGCTAATTTCCAATTTCTGTTGCAGAGAAGAGAGGACTACATCAGAATCACTAGAGGCACACACCTGAACTGGAGGCCACTGTGGTTCACAGCCTGTTATTTTAATTCAAGACTGTAATGATGTAACAACATTTCTTACGCTTTTTTTATTATAGTACCGCTATGTACTCATTCTCATTAGTGTGGAAAATGCTAAAAAAATAAATGTATACGAAAGACAATGAAAGCATCAGGAAACTCCCCACTTAGAATCAACTGTTTTTACTAGGTGGGTGTTTTCCTTAATTATTTATATTTATTGGTAGGGGTATATTTTTTCATCACAGAATCTGACTGTAAATACAGTTCATGTATATGTTTTTTCTCCCCTGAACTTGATTGTAAATGTAGTTTTGTTTCCCCCCCTTTTTTTTCACTAAACATCATTTTGTAAACCTTTTTCTTATTAAATCATTATTCTTTTAAAGCTAATTTGCAGTGGTTGCAAGGTAGTCAATCATTTGGCTGATATATAGCTTATTCAGCCCACCCCCTATTGTTGGACATGTCACTGTTTGCAATGTTTCACCATCTAAAGTAATTCCATATTAAACATCATTGTACATCAATCTTTGTATGTCTGATTATTTCCTTTGGATAAAATACAGGCATATCTTGTTTTAATGTGTTTTGCTTAATTTGCTTCACAGATGTTGTTTTTACAAATTGAAGGCAAGACCTTCCACCACCAGAAAGATTACAACTAACTTTATTGCAGTACTTGCTTTATTGTGGTGGTCTGGAACCAAACCCAAGGTATCTCCAAGGTATACTTGTACTAGAAATTTATTACTGGGCTAAAGGATGGACACATTTTTAAAGGCATTTGATATACAGAGGGTGTCAAAAAATGTATACACATTTTAAGAAAGGGAAAAAAACTGTATTAAAACTGTAATACTCAATATATACCGATAACAAATGATGAATACAAGTCATATGTATACATGTTTTTGGCACCCCCGGTATGTTGGACATTCCCTAAGTGCTCAAACCTGTTACCTTCTCAGTCATTATATAGTTTCCCGATTTGATAGTCTACATGGTCTAGACCAGGGGTCGGCAAACTTTTGAGATGGAAGAGCTGCCAGGGGTCAGCAAACTGCAACTCGCAAGAGCCCCATGCTGCTCTTTGGGTACGTTCCGTCTCAAAAGTTTGCCAACCCCTGGAAGAACCAATCCTGCCCCTCACAACAATTTAAAAATTATTCAAGAGCCATAAATATATTCTTACAAATAAGGAAAAATTAAAGTAATATTATAAATGAAACTATGATAGTTTTATTTTCATTTTCAATTTTACTTCAGAGCCACATGTACGTACCCAAAGAGTCGCATGTGACTTGTGAGCTACAGTTTGCCAACCCCTGGTGGCTCTTCTGTCTCAAAAGTTTACTGACCCCTGATCTAGAATGACTAAATGCTCAAAAGGACCACTTTTTAATGGCAAGGGACACTTTCTAAGAGGACTCAGCAACTGTCCAAAGACAAAGAACTCTGAGCAAATGGCCCACCATTTGACAGGCACGCCGGCGTATGACTTTGGGCCCCTTACCCTGTAGTATGTGCATATTAACCAGGTCTGCAATCTCGGGCCTGTTTCTGACCTTTCGCTTCAGGGTGTCTTCAGTCTGTGGGCACAAATATAAAATACATTCTGTCATCAACTGCATGCAGGTGAATCACCTAGTCTTAGCTTTCAAAGAAACCCAACTTCTCTTGAAGGGGAAAAGCATTCTGTTTATGACAAATGGAACATGCAAATATCCTTGGTCTGCTACGCTTTGGTGCAAGCACACTTACCAAAGCCTCTCTAGTAATGTTAGGATGGAAAAATAAGATAAAGAGGTAAAAAGCTTGGATTTACATCAGGACCACAAACTTAAAGGCCAGGCAGGTACATGTAGGTAAAATATTACTAAGATTGTGATGATACTAAGCTGCTTGTATTAACGTCAATCCTATTCCATTGCCTTTTAAAACTGCCACATGATTAACTAGGATTCGAGATGAAATGTAACCTGAGTCCATCTACTATCACATGACAACATATGCCCTCCTCCCCTTATTCATCTGACTTCTCTCTTAGGACATGTAAACATGTAAAGCCTGCAGAGTCTGACCTATCATGAGCTGGAAGGACACTTAGAGACAGATCATTTACTGAGTGTCATCATCTTCTCGGTGATGCTGCTGTCTGTGGGGATAGTGTGGGCTGTGGCAGAGCCACAACTGGACCTCAGGTGCCTGACTTCTAGGTCTGGGTTTTTATCCCACTATCTTGAGTCTCCTATTTGGCCCCTGAGAGGGGTTTAGGGGACAACTCCAGTTCTGATAAAAGACAGTTATTCTCCAGGGAGTAGAAACCACAGCCTATCATGAGCATCTCTGAAGAGTTACAGAGTTCTGCTCCTTTCTCCACTCACAGACTAGTTGCAAAGCTAGGACTCTTAGACAAAAAAGTCCCAGGAGCAAGACACCTCCCTTGCATTTCCTTCTCATTTACAGTGCTGATGCTTGCTAAATAGTACTTATATTAGTGATAAGTTCAGGTGGCAAAGGTTGGCTGTGAAGGTACAGAATATATGCCAATGCCCCCCCATGCAAAATAAAACAAACCCAAAACAAAACAACTCCCCCCCAACCCCCAGAAACAGAAAGAGATAAACTCAATGCCTTTTGCCTTAAGTAACTGCAAATAAGCTCTCTATCCACAGGCCCTAACTTACCATTGAGATGCATTTAAAAAGTCTGATTGTTGCTAAGAAAGAACTTTAATGAAAGGTGAGGCAGCTTGCAAACCAACTTTACTTCCCTTTTTCGAGTCTCTGGCTTCTACCGCATCCTTGCAGTGATCTCCCAACATCAGAAAGATTGGGGACATTTTTAAAGCTAAAAAATAGGAGTTTCAGTAGTTGACCCCATTTCCATATGATGTCGGGGCAGTTCATAGGTGTAAGATTCCATATGATGTCAGGGCAGGGAACTGGCAAATTGATGGAGTTGGTTGTAGAAATTCTACCTGCTTTAGCCAAAGCTTAGCCTGCGGAGACCCATACCCTGGAGTCTAAGTTCAGGAAGAGGGCAGTGTGCAAAAAATTACCTTGTCACCATCCGAGTGTTTTCTTTGCACATGGAATACAGTTGGACTTTTCAGGGCTGAAACAGAGAGACAAAGATATGAGCAGCATGGGCTTTGGGGCTCTCGGCAGCATGGCAGCATTTGCTGGTGCGCTTGCTGAGCTGTGCATAGTATGGACGTGGTCGCCTTTACGAGGCCATAAGCAACGGAAGAGCAAAGGCCTAGAGGACTCCAGCTTCCCTGAAGCCACAGGATACAGAGGAAGGTGGAATTCAGGCCTAGAACAGGAAGAACAGCAGAGGCAGATGCGACAGGAAGAGAAATGGCAGCAACAGGGCATTCTGCGTTCCTGAGGAAATACAGGTGCCTGTGGAAAACTGGGGACAGGAGTAATGCTCGAGTTTGAAGGGGAGAGGTAGACTGGAGTGATACCTTCTTTGTGGGAAGGGGGTCCCCTATTGTAGGAAGGGACTTGTACTTTGAATGTGGAACATGGCTGGTTGGTAGGAACATGCAGCTAAGAATCAGACTTGGAGGGCTGGAAGGGATCTTGAAGATAGTGAAATACACCACCAACCCTGAACAGAATAGAGAAACTGAGGCCCACAGAAATCGGTTGATTTACTCAGGGTCACACAATTAGGGTCAGGATCCTAGGTGCTCTGACAACGTAACTTCTGTTAAGGTGTGATGTTCACAATATGAACAAGCAGTAGACACAGGCACCGGTCAGTCAGCACACAGCAGTCATAAACAGCCTGGACCAAGTGCCAGCCTCTATTCTCTCACTATTTACTGTTCTTCCTCCTCACTATCTCTCAGCTCCTCCTCATGAGGATTTAGTAAACTCTTTTGGCTTAGCACAGAAGTAGACCATCGTTCAACAAGATTCTACATTTTTTAAAAATTAGTTTCTTTGGATGCTCTGGGACAGTCTCAATCAGGAACCACAAACAATCACTTTTCATTATAAGGGATGAGGTTCATCAGAGGTTACACATTGCACTGAATATTTTTCTGAATTGTAAGTCTGGACAAGTTAATGAATCACACGACTCAGAGTTCTACTGTTCCTCCAACAGATGTCCACGCTTAAGCTGCCGGCAATGAAATATTCTTCCAAACTTTGGCCAGCATAAAAGACTGGGTTCCTGGCCAGATTGGTACTTGGGGCAGTGTGTGTGTGTGTGTGTGTGTGTGTGTGTGTGTGTGTGTGTGTGTGTGTGTGTTTCAATCCAAGCAGTTTTCAGAAGGGCATGCTGGACATCAAGCAAACTCCACTGCAGTCTGGCAGCTGGTCGACCACGTTATCCTCTACTGAGGACACCGCTTGGGAAGCTATTAAGCATGCTTTCTCTAAATCTCCCTGCCTCATCCCAATGTGAATAATGTTGACAAAGGAACATGCAATGTAGTTCCAGCTGGCTGCCTTGTGCAAAGTGTACTGAACAAGTGTCCTTCTCCTTACTTTGAGCAGAGATTAAGAGGCTTCTCTTCTTATAGGAAAAAAAAAATTGAATATGTTGCTTGAATATCACATTTCCCATTGATCTAACACCAGTGTCTCTTGGCTGCTTCTACCCTTAACTACTCTTAAAGTGGACTTCTTTGCAAAACCCCCATTTATCCCCACTCAGTGGCTCTGAGAAGCTATCTGGAGAAATGAGCAGTTCTACTGCGTTGCTCATTCATTTTCTCTGATTTGGGTCTGGTCAGCAACCTTAGGAAGGAGGCTTGCCTTTTCCTGCACTTGATCACTGTTGTGATGGATACTGAAGGAGTTCTTAAAGCAACTCCTGTTCCCCCAGGCAATGAGATCTTATGAGTCTGCTTGAAGTCCAGTGGGCCTTGGTGAATTTGTACAGTCTGAACTGATAGGTCTTCACCTGTATCTTACACTTTGGGATTCATCTAATTAGGTATTATATATTGGTATAGCTTAATCACTCACATAATCCAGAAAAGGAATTGATGTTAGTTGGGCCTTATTCAGTAGTTAAAAAAAATAACACATTCTTTTCCTTAAGAAGCGACCCTTAAAGGAACAGTATGAATGTATCGTGAGATATCTCTTACATTTCAAACTCAATTGGTTTTAATTGGGTTTAAGATTTAGGAGGAATTTATCTGGTTCTCTTGTCCCTGAAGCTCTTTAATTCTTTTATTAATTGTTCTAAGAAATATTGCATTTCCTGTATCTTAGTTTGTAGAGCTATATAATTCATCACATCTTGGTGTTAACAACTCCCCTGTGAAATGATTCATACAGTCCAGTACTCGGATGCCAGGAGAACAAAGGTCTTCTGGAACCTTCTAACACAGGGTGGGAGAAGCTATGTCCATTTAGCAAGGACTTGGGAAGAAAGCCAAAGAGGTCCACACACTATTCTCCTCAGGGATTAAGGGATGTTATATGGAGCATTGGCTTGAGGTCACACTGTGGAAAGCTATCCTGCCATGGTGCTGCGATTGACATTCGCCTTTTCTGTGACTCCAGAGAATGTGGGTTTTAGCCACCTCCCCTGAGGGCCAGCAAAAGCCACGAGGCACCAGCAGCCCCCAAGTTGACTTTTTGGAAAATACGAAAAGGATCTCTTTTGCTGCTAGCCCTGGGAAGACTGAATGGCAAAATTTCATATTTAAGGGACACTTAACATATTAGTTAAATATTGAAAAGGAATTTGAATTTCTAAATTAGAAAAAGTAAGTCAATGTGATTTCAAATTAAAATACAAGTATGTTTGTACATTCAGTCAGCCACACATCTAACTCATGCCCCTCAGAGGAGGATTAATTGCTTCTCACAAGGGAATTCGTGTTCTCACCCCAGAGTTTAGTAATGGGCTATTCCTATTTCTGTCCCTGCAGCTCCAGCTAATTTGGGTCAGATGTGTGTATAAACATTTGCTTTCTTAGCCTCAGAAAAAGATCCCAAGACAAGAACAGGCCTCCTTCAGTCCCCTGCTCAGCACTTTAATCTGGTGTTCCAACAGGAGCCCAGAGGAAGGAGAAAAATAGGGCCTGGGGCACAGAGAAATCAGTTAAAGAGAGGGGCCTGACTCTCTAGCACAGGGTGGAGGGCCTGGTGTCCCAGAAACTCTGATTGCAGAGGCAGCGCTGTGCCTGAGGCAGGGCCTGCCTTCCATAGGGGTGGTCCCTCGCTTGCTCCTAGGCTTGGAGGGAAGGAATCCAGCTCCTTCAGTGTTTCCCCTGATAAGAATCAAGAGGCAGAATCAAAGAGCCAGTGGCTTGGGGCAGCAGCTGGAACAATGGTCTCAAACTGTGGCCCTCAGACCAGCATCTTCAGCATCACCTGAAAACCGGTCAACAATGCCGATTCTTGGGCCCCTCCCCAGATGTACAGAATCGAAAACTTTAGGAGTGGGGGACCCAGGGGTCTGTGTTTTAACAAGCCCTCCAGGTGATTCTGATGTCCAAGTTTGAGAACACTGCTCTGGAGTTTACAAGGCCAGTGGGCCCTGATTTGGGGTCCTTGGGAATCTGGGAGTTAAAAAAGGGAGTAGTGATTTCTAGGGGTGATTTTCAGTATTTCAAAAAGCAGGGGGGGAAAAGGTATTTGCCCAGAGAAAGGCTGCTTAGGTGAATGGAACTGTCACTTTTCACTGTTGCTACCTAGAGTCATAACAACTTGGTTTGGTGATGGTTGTTCTCATGACAAAGCACTGGCTAGGAAGTTTATGTGCCATTAATCAATCAAGCAATATGCGTATTAACAATTTATGTACGAGCATGTAGTGTTCTTTGGGAAGAAGACAAAAAGCTATTTCTAGCATAGGATGGCAGTGATGGGTATAATTTAAAAAGTCTCTGATAACTAAAATTTTGGGAACCATCCATTTGGGCTCTGTCCTTGCTTTGACATCTATTTTTGGTATAATCTTGAACAAGTCTGGTATTCTTCCTGTGCTCTCAGTTTCCCACTCATAAAATGGGTAAAGCAATGCTTGTCCTCTCGTTGCTTTGCTTTTATAGACAAATTGGATCATGAGTATTTTTCTTCTAAGTAAATGGGATACATGCCATGCATAAGTGACAATGCTTTGGAAATTATATTCTGTCTTTAGGTTGGCTAAATTGCCTATTCAGTACCCAAAGATAGTCTTAGGGGTCTGAGGAGAGTGCGTTTTCCCAGTGTAGCTTTGTAATATTTAAGATCTGGCTTGTGTACTTGGAGAAGTTGATGCAACATACAAGGTGTTATCAAACAATATGGTGAATGTTTAAATTAAAAAAATTATTACAATAAAAGATGCATTGCCATTAGTCCCCCTCAAAATACCCCCCCCCCCTTGCTTTGAACACACTTATTCCATCGTTTTTGCCACTTTCTGAAGCAGTTCTGGAAGTCTTCTTTCGTGAGTGTCTTTGGTTGCGCTGTCGTGGCTGCCTCGATGTCCTGAATCATTTTGGCTTTGGGAAAGAGCCAGAAGTTGCACGGTGCCAGATCCAATGAATAATGTGGATGAGGACACACTGTAATGTTTTTATTTGACAGAAATTGCTGTATACCAGAAGTGATGTGTGATACGGAGCGTTGTCATGATGGAGGATGAAGTAAAGACACTCACGAAAGAGGACTTCCAGAACTGTTTCAGAAAGTAGCAAGAACGATGGGATGAGTGTGTTTGAAGCAAGGACAGGGGGTCGGGGGGCGGTATTTTCAGGGTGATTAATTTTGAGGGTGATTAATGGCAATGTGTCTTTTACTGTAGTACTTTTTAAAATTTAAACATTCACTGTATTTTTCGATCACACCTCATCCGTGAACACTTTGGGATCTCAGAAGGGTACAGAGACAAATTCAAAGAGTGGTTTAAAAAGTAATGATTGGTTTACTAGTTTCTAAGGAACAAGAAACCAGAACATTGAAGGAAAAAGGGTGACAAGAAGGAATTTAGGATTGTTGACCCAAATGGGTTTGCCATGAAAATCTAGGGTGCCTTTTCTTATCTCTGAATTTGAGAGGTTAGAAAGGAGAGAAGAGGCAGACAGATTAAAACCCTTGTGCCGTGTTCTGCTCAAACAGCCAACAGTGTGTGGTAGGGTGCTGTAGGGA